CCAGGTCGAAACAGCTGTCCAGTGCTTCCGAGCTTTTCAGTTCACGCTTCATTTGCCATATACACGACGAATTGCCATTTGAAAAACATATATAGTAGTAATCACACGAGACCCATGAATCTCACTGGAAAACGCCTTGTTTGGTTTTTTCGTTCGTCGTGGCTAAGACAAGCTAATTTTCTCAATATATATTAGTGGTATATGAATAACTCCACAAAATTCTCCAAGAAGCACAAGACCGGTTTCGCGGTTCTTCCCGTTCATCAGGCGTGCGTATCCGGTAATCTTTTGTCAGTTCATTCATATACTCGTATCCAGGAAGTTTATTTTCATCACAATAACCTCATTTGCAACACCGGGTAGGTTTGGATGAACAGCTCTCTCAGAGTCATTCCAAATTATCCGGTGTTGCAAATAAGGTTATTGTAACATTTTATATGTATAACACCCTTCTGAGTTCAGGTTGTGCTAAACAATTCTCAGTAAAATGACCTTTGTAAAGAATAAAGGATATTACCCGAACTTCATAGATAAGTATGTATGTCACAGAGACTATAGCTAGACTATAACATCAAAGACCCTCGCGAAGCTCCACTGTGGGTTATCTTAATCCCGGTGAATCGTTGCATGATGTGGTATGAGGAACTCCTCAGTTGGCAATACACTGTTCAAAACAAACAAAACTAACCTCATTCAAAGACGAGCGTTCTCTCCAGTTCGACAGTGTTGTTTCCACATCAACAAAATCCCCGAAATCAGCTGAGAAATGCAGTTGATGAAAGCGTTTGGACAAACCAGTGAAATTACGACAACAATTGTCAAAAAGAAATCAACAGAGTTCGATGAGACTGGGTGCAATAATGCACCTCGCCAATAGTACAATAACGAGAACACAAAATGAAAATATACTTTGGATGGGTTAAATGTGTTGTAAGTGTCAATATTATTACTATTACTATTTTTTAACTTCGTTTTATTGAATACATAACGATGCACATTTTAAGAAAAGGGAAGCGATCAAGCAGGGGACAGCTATAGAACACAGACTGGAAAAATCAGGAAGTGATGATGGGATTCCAACACACGTCTTCAGAAGTGATAATGTGGTGACCTTGATCTTTCGGCCACCACCTCCGACGAATAGAATGTTTTTATTTACGTTTGATTGAATTTTTGGCACAAAATTTTGATAAGTACTATTCGTGTAGAACAATTTAGGTAAAAAATTGAACTATTTTCATATAATCACATTGGTTTTATTGTATTACAATCAACGCAGCATTCAAAATCATCATCTTGAGTGTAAAACTAACAGAAATATAACAGATGCAAATGAAGGTAGTCAGAACAAACAAAGCGAATGAGTCAAGTGTTCCGTTAAGGATGAGGAGCATTTAATCTCATAAATGAGTATCCGGACCAGATCGACTTACCTTGAAGGCTATAGGCACTTAACTTGATACCCAACTTCAGAGTCACCGGTAACAATCCAGTTGCGACATCCTGTCGCAATTGAAGATAGAAGAAACGCCTTAGGGGATGGGAGCGCGTGTTGTTCCAAATTAGTCAAGACCTACCTCAGTTGTGAATCAGATATGAATTGTGGATTGTCAATGAACAGCATCACAGTCAAGGTGAGCGCATGTTGGCGGGCATGTTTGTCCAGTTGCTTCTTGACCGATTTGTTCAAGAACAGCCAGCGTGATTCACCAGACCAATCTTCATATTTGAATCCGAAAAAACATGTCTACAAAATGCGAACATGCAAATACATATGTATATGATACGATCCAAATGTACTCACATCCTCAATGTCGAGTCTTTGGGCCACGTAGTCCAGAGCATCACGACCGGTGGTTGTGGTCGAGACCGTATACTCGACACAGGTTCCATCCAATGTGAAAATTCGTATGACATAGAGATCTTTGGCCGAAACATTGTACCGGTGAGTTCTCTTGAAGTTCAATTTGATCGGCATTTATGAGCCGGATAAGGAAGCCAATTACCACGCGTTTGGTTTACATAAATGTAACTGAAACGAACAGTCAAAGCACTTCGAATAGTATTCAAAAGAGAATAAATAAGTCCTAAAGACAGCATATGGTTGTTCGCGTTACTCCCAAAGAATATGCCTCCGAAAGTCTCAGTATGGTCGGGGTGGATATCTCGGATTGTGACCAGTCAACATTCTCTTACACCTCGCGAAGTGCTCCGACATGACCAAGCGTCTCGAATAGCCAATTCTGCTGAGGAAGACCTACTTACCTCCTCCCCGTGGTGGTGTTTCCCCACCAAAGTGAGTGGACGAAAAGCCAACATCCGGGATTATAACCGAGTTGGTGAACCATTGGTAGTTCACCTAGATGTGTTGACTGAAAAACCCTGATTCCAAACCAAACAAGAAGAGGCGTACGAACCACACACACCTTCCTGGTTGTGGCAGTGTTCCCCGGCTCCATTGGGTATTAAGTTGTATTGGGCACCTTTGACGTTTGATCCCGTCCAAAGGGCGTATGATCCGATGAATTGGACACCGGCCCTCAATGGAATGCGGACTCTTCATTCTGTTATTTTATCCAACTGGGCAACCAAAAGACAGCAACCAAAACCGGCGCACGAAAGTGCATGGCTAATTGTTGTACGAACTGAACTGAACTGAGTGAGAAAATTAGGCGCTAGAAGTTCAATCATTTCATAAATGGCATCTGTTAGGCAAATAGAGACATCTTCGATTCGTGCTGAAACAAAAATGCGGGCATGTCATTTTTCAGTCGCACGGGTAGCCTCCTAGCTGTTATGTACATTTCTTCTGATTGAGGAGGTGCAATTCTTAGCCACCAGAAAAAATAACCATTTTTCGTCCCCGACTAAGTGCAGCTCTTTTAGAAAATCTAAACAACTTTTTGCCGTTATGAACTTCAACTTCTGTTTGAATTTGTTCTGAACACTCCAATTTTAATTTTTCTCTTTTATCCAAACCAGCGGTCAAAAGACAGTAACCAAAACCGGCACAAGAAAGTTCGACCGAACAACCACATCTCGCGAAATACTAAGGATTCTACCCCAAGTTTTGGTTCCTGTACATTTCTATTGTATATACATAGATCCCCCCCGGGATGTTGGCCTTTCGTCATCTCATTTTGGTGGGAAAACACCTCCGCCGAGGGTAAGAAATGAGTAGGGCTTCCTGAGTAGAGACTGCTTGGAACACATCGTCGTATGAGCGTTTCGCGAGATACAAGGGAAGGGTGACTAGCCACAACCCGAAACATCGATACCCGACCCTACTGAGGCTTTCGGAAGTGATTACCAAGTTGATAGACATTGAGGTTCATCCGGCACGTTGAAAGATTGCGTACGACTCGATGAACTAGACACCGGCTCCCAAAGTATTGTGACTTCACAGACAACACCGCTGCCTTGCAAGTCAGGCTTTATCTAACCGAAGGCTTCGGTTGTGCGTTCTTTAAGAAAACTCATCTGCTTCGAGCGTGGTATTCTGTTCGTAAACAAATCATGTGCTCATTTCCCTGTCTTGAAGATTATTGCACCGTGATTTGTTTATAACAGAAACACGTCATCAGCATGGTACAGGGGAATAAAGAGAAGCAAACTTCACTGATCGGGGCTAATCTAGCCATGCACACAAAGTAAGTGAGAATGTACTAGATCTAACGCATTGGGCCAAATTACGAGGCAGAAAATTAAACCTCTATGATCAACACACAGAATAAGTCATCCAGTTGTGCATACACACCTTCTCAAGAATTTTGGCCTGATACAGAGTGACAACAAGAGCACCATAACTATCGGTCAGTTGCTATTTACCTCTGTNCCAGTTGCAGTCTTTTGGACCTCAACTTGAAAGATGGGTGACGCCTACTCTACCCAATAACTTGATGCATTTTTACATGTCTCGTTTCTACATCATCTGCGGGCTTCCACGTGGTTTCCGGTAACGTAGAGACGCACCTGCAAATAAAGCATGCTGCGGTAGATCACAATACCTACTTCAAAGATTCAAAGATGGGTTTGATAAGATAGTCCTTTTTACAGGGTTGGTTACGTGAGACCTACCAGTGAACGTAACTGATTGGTGTTTACTGCATAAGGAAGCTCCTAAATCCTCGATACTGCTTAGGTTGCTGGATCAAGAGGCACAAACACAGCGCATAGAGTCAAAAACTCAGAATAGTAGGTACATTCAGCTTTACCCCCGATGGACAGTGCGCGCACAATAAAATGCATGTAGATGTTTTTTTGGACTGAATCACAATCTGCAATACTAAGTACTTGTTTTTGAGACCTCTGCCGAGTGATGCAGTTCGCTAAACTAGATCCGAAACATCACGGTTTTTGATCGTTTTCGCTTTTTGTTGGGCAACCTAAAGACAGCAACCGAAACCGGCGCACTTAAGTGCATGGTTAATGGTTTTAAGACCTGAACTAAACTGTTTTTCTCACACCCTTCCACTTTTCCAAAACTATTGTTAGCGCGTTGACGCCCCAAACGACACCATTTTAGTCCGTCACTCGGCGATGTAAAAAATATATACACCTATTATTACGTGTGGATATTGTAGAGTATCGAGGCCGAACCAATCACCGATAACTAAACTCTTTTTTTCATTGCCTTTCAGGTCTTTTAGTACCAACCTGGCAGGAACATCCGAGTGCAAACCGACCCATGTATTGAAACTAGAAACATTATTGGTTTTCATATCTTTTTGATGGTATGCCCCGCAAGCAGCGTTGAATCCCTGTAAATTCGTTACGGAAATAAATCCTGTGCTTTTTGAGAACAATACCGTGATTATGAGGTGCTTCGGATCTGTCTGACAATGTTCGCCATGTGAAAGAGACCAAATTTCACCGTCTCTAGTTCCAGATCGTTCATAAGAAGAATTAAAACTCTGATCTGATAAGTAACCCTGTCATCACGTCGCCTCGTAACGCGAAAGGCAGCTCTGAGGAACAGGATGTCTTGGAACGACCCACATCTCTGTTCCTGACTTTTTCCCAAGACGTTCAAACCCTCCTCTTATCCTTTATCCACTCTGGAACTGTGCGAACTCAATATTATCATTATTGTAGTGCGTGCGAACCCAACCTACCCCATTCATTCCCACACCGAAAAAATTCCTTGGGGGTGACGATTTCCATCGCCGGATTAATACAGCCCAAGGTTACATTGAGCTTTTTCCACCATCTGTTCGTGGAATAGTAATTTAATCTCCCACAGATGGCAAGACCAATGACATCGTTCGAGATGAAGATGTGCTTGACAGACCCATCATTTTAGACATGCTCAAGCGGCTCAGGGAATGCCTCACGGACCGCTTCCATGAAGCAGATATTGTTCACCAGTTTCAGACTGACACTCAAATTCCCGGTGAATTTCTAGCCTCGTCTAATCTTGCAATTCGCCGCCTGGCGCTTGACGCGGTTCCCAACACTCATCCCGTCGACAGTGATACTAAGATCCTCACGCAGACCATGTTCGGCACGCGGCACCCATTGGTGAGACACCAGGTCCTTCTTAACCCGCAATCCACCGTAGTGACAGAGTTGGACACCACCCGACGAATTCAACAATTTGAGGCTGTTCTCAGACGCGATCAGATTACCGAAGTTCCAAACGTTGCCCCTGTCGGCTTCCCCGACCTCAGATTGGCCAGGTTCCCGCAACACTAACTGCGTCATGTATTTCGGATGCCACCCAAAGGCCGCTATTACTGACAAAGATTCTGTACTAAAGCCCGAGTTTGTGGCCATAATCGTCTTGGTTAGTCTACTGTTTCATTATGCTCTTTTTGAACCTTATTTTTGACTGCTGTTCCCGATATTATTAGTAATATTCCAAATAGTACCCACGTTGACACTGGAGCAGAATGTTCCCTGATTTGACGGGACCTAGTTCCCAAACAGTGCCCACGTTTTAAACTGATAACTGACACAAATCAAAGTTTTAGTGCCTCTGACCATGAGAAAATTGAGTACCCACAACGCAATGACAATTTTCGACAATCTTCCCTGGTCTCCTGTTCTGGGATTTGATTTCCTTAAAAACACAGAACGCCAAAATCCATATTGGTCTGGCTAAAATCACGACAAGGTCCCAAATGTTTCACTTTAAACCATCATACTAATATCAGAGGAACCACAACCAACATCTTTAAGGTCCCTGCGTCACGTCGATTACCGAATAGCTCACAACAAAGTGATAATGATAAGACCTGCTGGAATTTGGGGACGTTTATGCCCACAGTAATACCGACGTAGGCCATACTAACCTTGTCCTCCACACAACCAACAAGAGGAACACCCACTCTGCAAATCACTAATAATTTCCATATACTATCAGCAAAAAGACCAAAAGCTTATCCAGAAGATGCTAGAACATGATATTATCCAACCATGCTACCCCTCTTTAGGCATCCGATATATTCCCGGTGAAGAAACGCGATAGGTCTAGCTGTTCGTGTTGACTAATAAAGCCTCGACGCTTCCGAGAATAGACCAAAAATTGAGCACATTAGTAGGTACCTAGATTTTCATTACCTTAGATATCGCTTCTGGATACTGGAAAATTGAGATACATAAAACTGACGGCTGCAAAACAACGTTCGTACTCCAATCAGGCCTATACCAATTCCAAACAATACCATTCGGCTTGACTAATATTTCTGACACATTCCAACGTTTGATGAAAACCACTCTCGAAGGTCTTATTCCAAACTGCTACTTGGTCTATCTCCACGATAGTATCGTTCATGGTAGAATGGCAAAAGAGCATAACGCGAACCTAGAATGTGTTTTCAACGCCTCCAAGGTGCCTGACTTAAACTGAAATACTCTAAATACCATTTCCGTTGATCAGAGGTACCTTTCCTGGGACATACCATTTCCGCCCAACGTGTTTGCTGCGATCCAGCGGAGATCAACTAGATCCGTACTCGGCCCCACAGATCAGTGGAGGACGTTTGCTGATGCTTGGGACTCACTTCGCTTTATTATGGTTTAATTGCGAAAATCACACATTGCTCGCATCACTGCCTACAACTCAGACATGGTTATGCGAAACCTGAAATCCGTGTTTTCTGTTCGCGGATGACGTTAAGACGGCTGGATAGGACCTAGCTAGAAATACAAAAGTAGCTAAAAGATGAGTCGAACCGCGAGACCTACTAATGAGTGTATCAAAATGTCAGCTTCTGATGACCAGGACCGACGAAGAGATAGGCAAGAGCGATTCGATACCTAAGGTGCTCGAAGTAAAAGATTTAGGCGTAGTGACAATGTGGTACTTCAAGCCAAGCATTCAGTGTGTGAAGACCGCAAAGCAAAGCCAGGTAGCAACCGTTTAGTCTATGCACAACCAATAACGTGCAGAAAACCCGAGGTATTTGTACCACTTTACAAGTATATTGTACGCCCGCATCTGGAATCCTGTGTGCAGGCCTGGGTTCCGTTTTATCGAAAGGGAACTGATACACTAGAGAGTAAAACGTCTAACCACAAGGAAGACAGCTGGAAAACGAGGGAAAAGCAATGAACATCGGATTAGAAATCTTAATCTATGCTCGTTCAAACGCAGATGGATGAGAATAGACTTGATAAAGACTTTTAAGATCGTCAAGCGTACGTCAAGTCCGAGGTTTGATTATCTCTTCTGTCTAGTTCCGTATAATGACACGATAAGACAATCTAAGTCTGCAAGGAAACCACTCTGATCTGCAACCTGTTTCTCTAAAAAATAGTGATTCCACTGTGGAACCGGTTGATTCAGGCATTGGTAATATGCGATTCTGTAAATGCTTTTAAAAAGGCACCAGATGAATGTTACTTTTCTCCGGAAAAAGAGATTAGTTAATATCTGTAACTCAACCTCAAATTGTATGATACTGCACCACACCCTTTTGCCCTCTGGAAAAACTGTACATCAAAGTAATGGAATTTAAGAAAACACACTAACAATACAAATCTGGGAGCTTGATTGGTAAGGACGGTGCCATCTTGAGAAATACAACAAGTCCTACGTAGCAATCATGGTCCAAGTTCTTTAATCAGGGTCTCGGCTGGCATCCTTCATAGGATCTGTATACATGAATAACCAAGCATGTCAATGCGCATCGACATCGATGTGAATTCATGCGTTAATGCGTGGTTTTAACAAGGATTGAAATATTATGAATTCATACCATTTTAAGGTTAACCTTAAACCAGAAAAATACATAAAAAAGCAATTTGTAATAAGAAAACGTGAGTATTCGTCAGATATAAATGCTTTTAAAACCGATATCCGTATAATTGTCAACCTTAAATGGCAATATTGCAAACTATGTTGGTCAACATATCGAACGCCCGGGCGTTCAATTTGGGACACTCAACGAACGAACGACTGCACCAATGCGCTACCTGAGTATTCATGTGGACGGATCCGCAGATCCAAACCATCCGGCTCGAGACGGGATAGGTGACGTAACGTTACGCTTATTTACAAAAAGAGTTTCAGACTTCGGGTAGCTCAGTGTCTCAATATAATATAATTTAAGACATACATTCACGTGGTTTGGCTTCAATCAAAACCATGAATTTAATGAGGCATAACGAAACACATGCATGTGCATGAACGAGTAAATCACATTTGGAAAATGAAATCAGGTCAGGTCAGGTTGCACAGGACGGAAAAGGCTTCCGCCGACCAAACGCCCAGGTTCTTGCTTCGATAGGAAGGTTTCTTCTCCCAAAGCTTCAAACTCGTTTCAGTCGCTGTCTTGCAAATGTTTTCCGGCAGGAGACTGGTTCCAGTTCGATATCTGTAAGGGAGATTAGTCGGGAAACAAGCAGGTCAACTCTAAACAACATCAGACCCCGCTTCTTTACTACCTCTGGGTATAGCTGAGTTCAAACCATGTCTAACTGCCTCTTGAAGTCGACTTTAATCGCACATTTCATCAGGTGCGGTGGTAGTTGATTCCATCTATCAACAACTCGGTTCGTTTAGTGGTTAAACTGCACACCGAGGCGATCCCCTGGGTTTGAGAGGTTTAGACTGTGTCCCCTGGTGACTTCTACGGTTGTTAGAGTGAACAAAATTTCCGTGCTTACGACACTGAATACTTTCGTCATCTTAATTCTTTTTCTATGAGATCACCCCTAAGACGTCATTTTCCATAGAAACGAGGTCTAACACCTCAAGCATTTCTTCATATGACTCGCCCCTTACGCCCGAGACCATTCGGGTGGTTAACCTTTGAACCTTCTAGACACACTGGATGTCTTTCTGAAGGCAGGGTGCCCAAGCCTGGACACAGTATTCTAGGTGGGGTCACACTAGTTCCTCAAACAGCAAGATAAAGACTTCTGCCTTTCGAGTGGCCAGTACATTTCTCAACTGGAATAGTTGACCTCTCGCCCTTTGTGCTGCAGCTTTGCACTGTTTGTCTGGCTTGCAATTTTCGGAGACTACTATCCCTAAATCCTTCGTTTGGGCTACGCGTGTTAGTTTGGCGGTTTCCGCCTCCGTCCTTACTCTAACTGGACCACCGTCAGTGTTCAATATGCGACACTTTGACCGGTTTAGGTCCAGGTTCCACATCTGAATCCAACAGATAACCTTTGTTAGGTCTTCCTGTAGTTGGTCTCGCTGGCCTGAGTTAACTAATTTTACATCGTCAGCAAACAAGAAAGTCGGGATGGACAAACCCATAACTGAGTCATCGACTTACATCAAGAAAAGTATCAGTCCTAGGTAAGAGCCCTGTGGCATCCCATTGATGACTTTCTCCTGCATTGATAGTGCCTCTCCGACCCGAACCCTGAAGATCCGTCTGTTCAGAAACGCCCCTATCCATTTGATAACAGTCCCGAGAAGGCCAAAGTTCTCGAGCTTTTTAAGAAGTAATCGGTGATTAACCGAGTCAAAAGCATTTGTAAAGTCCAAGTGACAAACTTTGACTGTTTAGCCTCCATCCAAATTCTTTGTGACTTCATCTAGGAAGCACAACAGGTTGCTGAGACATGATCTCATTTGATAACAGTCCCGGGAAGGTCAAAGTTCTCGAGCTCTTTGAGTAATAATCGGTGAGGCACCGATTCGAAGTTCTTCCTAATGTCCAATTAACGATTGTTAACTTTTTGACTTTCGTCTAGCTTTCTTGTAGTTTCATCTTCATCAACAGGTTGCTGAGACATGACCTCATTTTGAGGAACCCATGTTGGGTTGGGGATAACGAGTTGTAACGCGCATTATTCTCCCCAAGGCGTTTCTCACTAATGTCTCTGGTCCTTTACAGGGGATACTATTGAGAATTACTGGCCTGTAGTTTGCTTGCGCCTTTTGGTCAGCCGTTTATGTATCGCCACGACTGTCGTTATCTCACCGAGTCTCCGGGATTTCTCGTATAATGCACACACTAGAGCTGCCAAAATCTCTGCGAGCGGCTTGACGTTCGCTGGATGTAATCCATCATTCCCCGCCGATTTACTATGCTTTTACTCACTGAGTATCCTCAGAACTTGAGCTCTGTCTATCTGTAGATCGCTCATTAGAGGAGCTCGGACCCGTGGCAAATGTCAGGGGTAATTGCGCCCATCATTTATTTTGTAGACACTTTGAAAAACGTTTTTGAGTATCTCACACTTCTCTGTCTCCGACGACACTTCTCCTGCGCTTTTTCGTAAGACCTCAT